GTCATGAAGCAAAAATGTAAATGAATGTTCAAGACAGAACCCAGTATGGAACTGCTGCAAAAGTTGTCAAAAAGTGTTTTTTTTTCCTCAAACAAAAGTTTTCCAATTAAAACAAAGTTTAGAAAATGAAATGCCACATATGGAATGCTACCTTCAATGGAACCAATGGTAGCTTCCAAACGTGTTTAGAGATTGTGATATTACCATACATCAACATAATAAATAAACTTGGCTTCAAACGCTTTTTCTTAGGGTGATAAAATATGTCAAGTCGACACGTCCATTCCAAAAAGGATTAATGGTTTTCAAGTTTTACAGCATTTTTTTACATGTACTAAGAAGTTACAAGATGAAATGAGAGTTTTTACCTGTGTTGGGAGTAGTAACATGACCTGCAGGTAAAGCATGAAAAGCGTAAACAAGGATAATAAAAAATATGCTTAAAACCATGAATTGAGATGATTCTTCGTCTTCTTTTGTTTACTATATATATAAGCAAAAAGCACTTGTTGCAAAAAGGGAAGGAATGGGGGCACATGCTTAAGGTTGATCAGAAATAAAGAAAAATTAAGATTTAGATCTTGAAAGAAGGCATGAAAGAGTGCTTTAAGAAGGTACAAACACAGAAGCATCAAAGCCCTAAAGAAAAGCACAGTAGACAACAGACAGTAAATTGGAAAAAGAGGCACACAAGAAAAAGCCTATTTAGAAATAATGCAAAAGCAAAAAATTATAAACATGTCTCCCTTTCACCTCATAACCTGCTACTCCATATTACTAGTAAGAAAAAGAAAAGATCAAATGCAACAGTTTACAGAGTAAGTGTAACACACAGACACTGATAAACATGCAGTGTTTGCACACACAGATGCTAGCAGAGATGTCTCAAAGCACAGCAAAATCACATTCCTTATAGACGAAACCAGTGCTCAAAAAGCCTTGGTTTAATATTTCATTTCCCCGTGGATAACCTGCAGTTTTCCTGCGCCCTTTAGCCAAACTGTAAGCAGATATACTGTAAAGCACACAAAATGCAATCTCAGTAAGCCGACATTAACTTCTGCCTTTAAACACACACACACACATACACACACAGTAAGATAAAGCTGGGAATGTGAGGACATAAAAAAAAAGCACCAGATGTGAAACTGCACAGTTTCTCTGAAAAATGCAGAACCAGTTGAGACTAAATAGTGAAAAGACAATTGGACTACCACTGTTCAGTGCTCCCCACCTCGCCCACACAAGGAGTTTCTGTCCTTGTCTCTAGCTAGAGGCACTTACTTGAGAAGTTGCGAGTAGCCAGCATAGTTGTTAAGATCGCTCCCTAAAAGAAATATCAAGAATGACGTTACGATGACAACAAATAGCTGCACACACATTTAATGACAACTACACTGTCAAAACACTGACCACAACTCATGTGCTAAAAAAAATTCTGACACAAAACTAGAGGGCAATGAATGATCTCCCCCAAAATGTGGCCCAGCTTCAAATGTCAAGCAGAAAGTAGCTCTTGTTTTCATGAAAGGAATTCGATCAAGTGGTCATGTGGTACCACACATCATTTGTGAATGCACCCACCCTGTGACTGTGATATCGAAAGCAGAATGTATGGAGTGTTTAACACAACTGAAAGGGAGTGGCAAACTGCGTTCCCAGAGATGCAGCAGCCGAGGACGTGACTCATACTAAATCAAATTCAGAGAAGTGTTATGTGAAAAAGGAAAGAGTTGTGAATAGGGTGATGTAGCCAGCTTTGAAACCAGGGCGAGGGAAAGGGAGTCTGGACACATTAAGCAAAATTTAATGACTGGTTTAACCCCCCCTCGCCTGGTGATCACACACATAAGCACACACACACGAGCTGTGCAGGTACGTATGGGAGGCATCCCTTGAGCAAAAGTATTACGAACTTGTAATGTGACCTTCAACAACTCAATGATATAAAATTTGACTGGCATATGTGAGCACTTTTGACAACCAATGACCAAGACAAGTTTCTATAATGGAGCCCACTACCTAATTCATGGGGATCATAACACATGGCATGCGTTTTCAACTTCAGTCACTATTACAGGGCTCTTCACCCTACCACATAGCAAATTTAGTTATGCACTAGAAGTTGTTATGTGCCCAATAAAGAGCAAACTACTATGAGAATTTTTCACATTGGTTCATTACAAGCAGAAATTAAAATGCTTTTTGAAGTGACATGCAACCATGATGTCAGAAGGCAAGCTTCACAGCCTTGCCACTTGCCCTGTCTAGCCTTCGAAAGCCAGACTTCTTCGTGTTCTCACATACCAGAGTCGGAAGATTGCACGATGCATACGCATCAGCACGTCACACACACATGATGTGTGGGTAAGCTGTGCCCTTTTTATTTCTCTGAAGTTTATGCTGTTCTACTGTGCTTCAATGCCCATGCCCTCCCCGCTCGTCACTCCGAGCGGCAGATGAGGAGTACATCGAGGCCCTCTTTGGTGCATGGCAAAGCACCTTCATTCAGGTAACAGACTTGGTATTGTAGATCATTGCCTTATCTTGAAGTGTGGCACCCACAAGGAGATGAGCGAACGATGTTCAGTTTGAAATTTAACTTCTTTCTGTGGTGTGTAGTAACGTAACTCTTGAAAGACATGATCGTGAGCATGCAATGTATGCAATGTGCTTGTCAGCTCAAAGGGCACTCTCAGCTAATGCTTCATCACACGATAGTGGAGTCGACAGCTACTAAATGAAGCCAGAAATACTAGTACTAGCAATACAAGACTTCAATACCATCCAGCTTTTAATAATTTAGGTGATTCATTTAATGAACCATCTTTTATTTCAAGGAAAACAAGCAGACACTTTTTTTACTCATCACTCAACAACTTGACATCACATGGCTTGGCTAACACATATCATTAAAGGTGGCTCATTGCAGTGTGGACTAACACACAACCTGAAATAAAATCTTCGATAGGATCACCTTTAAAAAACGTAATTTACTCAAACAACTAAATATATGACTGAAAATGTAAGACACTGCAACACTTAAGACTACTCTTGAATCAACCAAGTGCATAGGCTTTCCGAAAACACACGCATTTCACTTTAAAAGGCATAAAAAACATTTTTACAATGCTATGTTCTCCTGGTGATTTGAGCTGAGTACAGCCTTTAGTACAGCAACATTCTTATCAGATAATGTCATCAAACAGCAAGTTCAAATTGTACAACACAGAAAATATTAACTGGGATTTTTTCATCTACATTATCTCTATATGCCTAAAATTGATTGCATAAATTTGTGCTAACAGATGTATCTCCTATAGGTTAAGCTTAAGTTTATGCTTGAGGTTATATCAACATGCAACAGTGACTGCATTCACGTCTGAAGACAAAGCAGTCTTCTTTTTTTCCAGTCTACTACAAGCTGTACCTGGTGCAATCATAAATATAATACTAGCATCTTGGCTTGCATTTTCTTTTTTTTTCACTGTCCCATACAGGTTGCACCAAAAGGGGGTAAAAAAATTGTTAAATTTGTACTGCTCATTGGGCCTGCTCAGAAAGTGAAAAAAAATACCATTTAAAAGGTACACTTCTAGCAATTCAAGTTTCAGTAGTTCTTTACATTTGTTGACCTCCAGCACAAATAAAATTTATTTTTTGCACAGCCAAAACTAAGTAATTACACCCTTCATTAAAAACAAAGTAAATGTTAAAAAGAATGTAAACAAGAAGTTCCTAAATAACAGCTTGATGGCATTATTAGCCTATTCTCATTCATAGCGACATAAAACCTCTGGAAACCAAAAAAAAAGTAGGAGAGGATACAGCTAATATCTTGGCCAATTGGCAAGGTGGTTATATTTCTTTGCAGCGCAAACCAAAGCCAGAGTTCTTTATGGCAGAACAATTCCGTCTCCCAAATAGCATTTACCCATATCAGTATTGTGCTCTCTGATAATCAATCACTTGACACAAAATTAAATGCTTACCTTTAGCTTGCGACGAGCATTGAACTTCTTCAAGCAGTCCACAGTCTCTTGGCGGTGTAGCGTAGAGGCAACACGTTCCCGTTGCTGAAAAAAGAAATTGCAATAGTTGGAACAATGCTGTGCACAGCTTCATGATGCTGTTTAATTCAGGAACTGCAAGGAACAAGATACTGACGCAGATCCACGGGTGCTTCAGGGCCTCAGCGGCAGTGATTCGCTTAGCTGGGTTGACCGTCAGCATACTGTTGATGAGATTCTTGGCCTCTGGGGTAACTGTGTCCCATTCTGGAGATGGATACTGCATAGTGAAAATGACAAGTATGCTGCATTACATAAACAAACAGAAAATGATGGACAGTGCTCAATTCGCAAATGGCGAAACTTGAACGAATGCACGCCTCTTACGAGTTGCTAGGCAGTAACAGTGTGCAACAATCTATTCCCAAGCGAGTTGCTGCGGTTGTTACCACTAGACCAAATGGTTTTCCACATTTTTTGGCAGAAATAAAAATGTTGAAAAAGAATGAATTATCACACAGGTTTGTACAAGGAATATTTATACTTTGTAGACTCCAAGTAGCACCTATAGCAAGTTCAGAACAAACATTTCAAGTTCGCTTGGCAGTCTGCCTTCTTATAAAAACATAAGTAGTTCACGAGTTTCCTCACTAAGACGCAAATGCTGCAAGGTGTAAATATATGCTTTATCGATTAAATGTTCTAATAAAAAATTCATTCATGCCAAGTCTGAGTATTATATAGGTTGTGAAAGTTGGCAGTAAAACCGGAAGTAAGACGTGGGGTCAAGACGCTCTACAAGAATTTCCAGTATCAGTGCTCTAGAATATTTTTCTGTAAATTATATTGACGTAACTTTAACTTTCAATAGAAAGCTTTTGCAAGACAATTTTAAAATAATGGGATATACTGCTGGAATCATTTTTATCTTGAATTTACAGAGGAAAACAAAAAACGATGCCACGCTTCTCTTAAAAAAGCTGGACAGTCTCCTAATTTCTAATCCACATAATCCTAATCCACATAATCTCTTGCTCAGTGAAATGATTTTTGCAGGAAGAAAGACCTGCAGAACTCTATGCAAGAAGGTGCGATGTCACAAAATCAAGAATTATTATGCAACACTAACACTTACTGCTTTGCCATAATGAAATTTTGAGCTTGTCGCAAAAACGAAAATGGGTGTCCCAAGCAAAAAAACTTTTTCGGCCACGTGTTTCGCCCCTGTTTGTTAACGTCGAAGGCAAACCTGTCATACATTTTATGGCATTCTGTAAATCAGTGTTTGCATTACATAAAAGTGGTCTGTACGTTTTTTTACACACCAGTGTAGACAATTTGCGCAAGCATTCCGCTTAGTCAGAAACTATGCCCAAGCAATAAAACACACCAATATGATGCTGTCCAACAAGTGCTATACATGAAACCTCAAATTCCACTTTCTTTTTTTGGCCTGCCCCCATTTATAGGTTAGGAACCTGTGAGATGAGAAACTGCTATGACCAGCTACAAAGTGTTAAAGAGGCCGTGCAACACTCTTCTGAATTTTCATAAAATAGCCTCATTATTATTGCATGACACTTCACAAATCACATGCCAAAGTAATTTTGCCAAAGTAAATGTGTGGCTACCGTATTCTTGGGAGCCTCAACTACCGATCAGCAATCTGACCATGTTCAAAATGTGCTACAGGGCTCTTGAAGGGAATATAAACTCGAAACTCAAGCTAGAGCAGTAAAGTAACAGCATGTTGTCTTCAAAGATAACAGACAGACCACTCTTCCAGCATAGCTGCAGCAAAAGAAAATGATGCCAAAAGAAATTAAAATGGCAGAGCAAACATCTACCGTGAAGTAAAGCACCATGCAAACAACCTCTGAAGCCACAAAAACTGTGTTGTGGTGCACAGTGAACGTTACACAGCATCCAAAATGAGTCTCCTGACGAGCACATTTGAAACCTTCGAATGAGATCTGCCAGGCATCAGCTCAGAGGTACACCCATTGGCAAATTAAGTCTGAACACATGAGTCCCGATAAATCAGATAAAAATGAATTGCTGCACCGTCCGATGTTGAGTGCCTGGTGTCGAGACATCGCAGTGCATGTGTGCATCCTTTCCCACGTGCAGCCATGTCTTTTTAATCATTTGCAAACGTCTAGCTGATTACATGTAGCATTATGCAGTAGGCGTTGCTTTCTTTGTTTCATCTGCTGCACGCTCTGTTCGATGGGGCATGCTAGCAATGATGGATATGTTGTTTGTTATACCTTTATCAGACAGATAGCATGCAGCAGCTGGACCTTCTCAACTTATGAATATAAGCTGAAGAATATTTGTGACTCGGTGCCTCTTGTATTTCAGTGCCCTCATTCGTATTTCAGTACTACACGGTACGTTTTTACCAAAAGAGCATGCACAGGAGGCCACTAATGCTGTATGTAGCAACACTTTGTCACTGACACATATCAATTTATCTTTAATCGGGTAAAGCGAGCAGCGTATGCGTCACGTCAACCATTCCCCTATCAAATGGAGAGCATGACAGATTGAAAAAAGAAAGCGCCCCTACTGCAAAATGCTACATGTAATAAGCTATTATGTTCCAAGCAAGTAAGAAGACATTGCCACAAGCAAAAAAGACTGCAAGGCGCACTGCGATGTCTCGCAGTGCGCCTTGGCGGCATGGCGATTAAGTTTTATTTGATTGAGGTCACTTCTCCGAATCTACACTTTTTTGATGATGGGTGTACACGCACAGCAAAGTCTGCATTCATGTGGACTGCTTTATTTAGTCTTCTATAGGCACCGGGCGCGGGGAGAGTTTGGACTAGTCGCACCTCTGTTGGTGTCAACGGGGAACTAATAGCATGTGGGTGCTGGAACGGGCGCAGGCGCTTGCTGGAGGAGCGCAGGGCTGGATGTTGCTTTCGTTTCGTTTTACTGTTGTTGCTTCTGTAGTGTGCTGTAGAAATTTACGTGAAGTGTACAAAGCCTGAAGATTACATTCTCTGTTAAAATATTAGGGTCGATGAAGCATCGAAAAAAGAAGGAAAACAAGATGGGAGCAGGCAACAACTATAACACAGAAACAAGTGCAATCGGGAAAGCATTGAGTAAAGAAAGACGAAAAATAAATGGGAGGTGTACGCTCTTTTTCATCAATGTTAGGGAAGAATGTTAACCTGTAGGCACAATAACAGTATTAGGGAAGATTCGGCAGATCCCACGCATTGTGGATCGGTTTTATGCAAAGTAGCCAGTGAGTCTATGCTGCATTTTTTTTAGCTTTGAGTCAAGTGTAACGAAGTAGATGGCTGTTTCTGGGTAGATATAAATGGTAAATCACCTGCAGCTCATACACGCATTCTGTGGCCCGTGTATGTGTCAAACGTGGCTGTAGGAAAGGGTTTCATAACATGCATGCCAAGATTTCTGTGCTACTCATGTTACAACCAGACAGTCATATTCATCATACGCCTGAAACCACCTATGTCAATATTGGTTAATACCAATATTGGTTAATACCAATTAGTTGCTTAAGGAAGCGACCACGAAAGTGCCTATATTGACTTCGGTGTCTCGATAGGCAGACACTTAGATAGAAATGCTCAAAGTGAATTCAGAAATGCTTTGCTTTTAAAATAGAAATAAAAATGATGACCTACTACATTGTAGCTTGTTGCATATCAGTGGGGTGCACTTGCAATGCAATTTGCACTCGTTGTTACTTTTATATTCTGCTATTTCACGCACGTGGCCTGCTTCATGCAAGGGCTACCCTTTACTGGAGCAAACACACGAAAATACGCATGCCAGCAGGTCAAGCCATGAAAGTTGCAGTGCAATATAACTGAAATTGCCATGTGTGCACTTGCACTGTCAGGACTTGCCTTTCCCTAGAAGCCCAAGGCCCAAGGGCAGTGCAAGGGGGGTTATGGGTAGGCTATAGTTCCCCTCCCCCCCTTTTTTTGCCATTTATCCATCTGCCCCCCCCCTCCCCCAAAAGCAGGCATAGTCAAAACACAACTCATATGTTTCGATCCTCCCTGCCCTCCTAAAATAATTCACTTGTCAAAGGTGCACCCCCCCCCCCCCCCCCCCCCCCCGGTGAAAAAATCCTGGCCCCGTTCCTGCAGGAGACTTATGGACAGTAGTGTGGAACAGCCAGTTCGGTAGTTAAAATGCAGCAGAGATGTTTATTTTAAATTATATAACCAGTCAGGCCAGTTTTATGTGCAGCCGGGATAGGGAGAAGCCATCATGTGCCTTCTGGTTCGCCTCCAAATGCAAACAAACACAACGCACAGCATCACGCAGAGAAGCTGAGTCATTTGATGTTCCGACGGTGCTCTCAAGTGTAAAGACATGAAAGGGACACATGTCATCCTTCCTAGGTGACTTGGCGACTATTTAACGCTGCCATGTCCATGAACGACTGCGTGGGAGTCTCCCAGAAATCCTACGACGGGCCCCGTTATCTAAACACCTGTCGGACAGTTGAAAGATTTGTGCAATGTTCAACAAATGCTGTTGCTACTGCTTCACTTTGCCTTGGACGACAAACGCAACAGCGTACAGCTTTAGATTGTTGAAAACGAAACACCACTGCTACTCTATGAATGCGATGCCAGAAGTAGCAGAATCTTCTCCGCGTTGTCTGCTTCATATGCCAGTATCACCCCTGTCGTCGCTCGCAGCGCTTTTCGGGAGAAGCGCAGCTGGCGCGGTACGACAGCCACCTGGTGCCTATAACTACAGCTGTGCTGGTACACCTCTGGCTTTCACAGCAGGGTAGCCAGGGGCCTAATGCTCACAAAAAAAAATGGGGGTACTGTGCACTGTTTATTCAATGGCAGCCTGTTTGAAAAGCTATTATCAAGACCTACAGCAGAAGAGTGATGACATCAACATCACAGCAAACAAAGTTTTCTTTCTAGGCTGTTGTTCTGCAGCGTAGTCTTAGCGAGTGGCATCTCTGCATTCATATAGAGCTGTTCATTCGGTGGCTTTCCTCTGGCGTACAAAAATGCAGTCGCATGGCTAAACATCACACAAAGGCCACATATGCTGTGAGTGTGTGTCTCTCTTTTGTGTCCTTGGCAAAGCAATATGAATGACGGTCATTTAGCACTTTGTATCACAGTGATGGCTCTCCAACACCAGCACCGTAGATTCTTACTATACTGGTCAACATGCCTGTCACTACAGGAGTCAACTTTTGTCAGTATCCAGCCCCATAAGGCACTTCGATAATACTCTGCATCTTTTTATGACCAA